CATAGGCCGCGTCTGCGGGGTGCTGGAGCTGGGCCTGTCTAGCTTAGGAACCGGAATTGGGCCTCGATTCTGTGTAGGTTTGAACTTTTTTCTGCTCTGGCTTTCGTCTCTCCAGGTGGGGGCTCTAGCTTCTTTGGGGGGCTGGGGTTTGGAGAGGACGTACTCCTCAGCCTTAATGAATTTAAGGGATCTCTGGTTGACTTCGTCAAAAGTAGTTGGGGTGTTCTTGACCAAGTTGTCCCGAAACCGATCATGGTTGAGGCCTTGTATCACGGCAGTTACTCCCACTGCTTCATCGAAGGCATTGACTTCCAGCATGGCGTCATTGAACCTGTTCATGTAGTTCTTCAAGGATTCACCTTCTCGTTGTGTTATGCGCATGAGCTCGGGTGTCGTCTTTTTTATCACCCTTCTGCTAGAGAATTTGGTGGCAAAGGAGACGGCCAGCTAGGCATATGCGTTAATCGAGTTCGGACGCAGGGTATGATACCAGGTCCGGGCATTGCCGCGCAATGTGGAGGGAAACATCTTGCACATGAGCACGTCCGAGGCGTTTTGAGCCTGCATGATGGAGAAGAATGCATGTAAGTGGTCATCAGGGTCTTTAGTGCCGTCATACGTTTCAAACATCGGCATCCTGAAACCGGGTGGATATGGTTCTTGGGTGATTTTAGTGTTGAGGGGAGTGGGGATAGAGGTTGGTATAGGCGGGACCTGTGATTGTGGATTTTTGTTCTCGGCCAACAGTTTTTCTAGGTTATCCAGCCTCCTTGAGACATCTGAGGCGGCTGGTTGGGGTGGGTTTTGTGGCTGGGGTGGTATGTGAGACTGTGCTTGGGAAGCGGTCGGGGCAGCACTGCGAACCGGGGAGTTGGCGGGCTGTTGAGCTGGTTGGGGGGCCACGGGGGGAGCTGGGTTCAATAAGTGAATGAGTGGGTCAGCGGGGTTATCTCTGGCTAACAGCTGGGCAAGTACTAGCTGGAAGACCCCGAATTGTTGTTGCATGGCATTGAGTTGAGCGGTCACAGGGTCGCTTGGTACAGCGCTGGGATATTGTGG